AGTGGGGTTGTTTATCTAAAATATTTATGTTGTTTACCTGCCATTAAAAAGAAGATCCTAGCTAACATCAGCTGTGTTAGGTTCTAAATAATATTACAAGTACTTGTCATGAAATTATAAAAAATTCCACTTCGCAAAATTTTTTTTACCAAGTCACTCCCCTCTAGAGAGAACTTAGCAGCCATCAAAATAGAAAAGTAGACCTCAAAAATAAATTTAATTACCCTGATGTTGAACAACCTCTTTTATTAAATACCAAATATAACCAGCCACATAATCTTCATAATTAAATGTGTTTATATAATGTCAATGAAAAGTAGGAATTGCCAATGTAAGAAAAAAGTTTTAATTTCTATAATCTAAACCACAAAAGCTCTTACGTTTTGCAACCTTGTATTTGCATCAACATTAATTTCACCAGCTCAATTAAACATAAAAATAAACAACAACACAAAACGTTGCTTGAAATTGAAAAACATTACCAAAATGCATACACCTGTATATATATATATATATATATATATATCCACTGTTTATCAACTCTATAAGGCTCTAGACCAGAACTTGAAAGTTCCAATCTTTCATAGCAAGAACTATATACAAAGGACTAACCATTTTCATGGTTTGTCCCAATTTCATTCCAACAAATAAATAAATAAATAAAGGTCTAAATATGCCAACCCCAGAGCATCAAAACTAAAAAATAACACAAGCATTTGGATTTTCCTCCATACTGTGCACATAGTAGTACTGGGTCATGTGAGGATTGTAAGCTTTGTAGGCCTTGATAAGTTCAGCAATCTGGTCCTTTTCATCTTTTTTACCCCCATCTTTTTTGCCATCATCTTTTTTGCCATCATCTTTCTTGCCATCATCTTTCTTTTCTTCTTTTGCCGGCCCTACAGATACTATTTCAGTGAACCAAGTTTTGCGCAACTTGTTCACTATTTCCACAGGGTCCACATCTCCAACCACTGTCAACTTCTTTTCCTTCATGTCCATGGAAATGGAATCAATACCTGAAAGAAAGTTACAAACATGTAACAGACAAATATAAGTACACATGAAGAAACTGAAATCTTCTGGAAAGAAAATGTAACAAAAAGATAGTAGAGTCCTTTTAGCTTATTATGGTTGGAATATTGTGAGTTTATAAGATATATTCTCTTGCAGCACAATGATCCAATTAGTGCAGACAAATTCAAGCAAGAAAACTTTTAAGTGAATCTTTAAAAAAGAAGGAAAAAA